AAATGGTTGCCATATACACGTCCACTGATAGGAGACGCGGAAGGTATTAAACTGATCAGAACAATACTAAACACACCACAAATAAGGTTTCTCTCCTGTATGGCTCCTCAAATGATGCTTAAGATTAGAAGCGGCTGAAAAGCATTTCTCACACTCCTAACAAAAATATTTTTTTTTAACATTCTCTCCACTTTGAACGAAATGACGTTTGGGAAGAGATTAACATAATTAAACACAGGCAGTAAAAATACAGTTTTAGCCATACCCTGTAACTTTAAAACTACACATCCCATCTTCATAATTACATATTTGGAATCAGCACACTTAAACATAAACATAACCAAAAATCAGCCAAATCCATCCAGGGGTTAAAAAGTTAGCTGGAGGTCCCTTTATGACCGACCGCAAGCACATTTTCCTGCCCAAAACAGTTCCATAGGTTTGGGCTGTGCGGTCGGTCTATTTCCCTGTGGTTGAAAATGACTAAGTCCCATCGAATGGGACTTAGTCTCTGCAGCTGAAATAAGGCTGAAAAAACGACTAAGTCCCATCGCCGAATGGGACTTAGTCTCTGCAGCTGAAATAATTTCCCATTTACTGAACCAAGTGGGAAATAGCAAGGCAGGCACAAAGGGTTTGCACCAGGTCTGGGGACACAGGGGACACCGTCTTAAAGGGGCCGTGTCCCCAACAAGTCTGGGGACACGGCCTTAAAGGGGCAGTGTCCCAATCTTCCTGATGTCCCAAAAAAGGTGTTTAAAGGGCCAGCACCAGTCACATAAAGAGTCCATAAGCCCCAATATGCCCACCGACAGTCTTAAAGGGCCATACACACCAAATAAAAGTGCATACATTTTCACAATCTCCCAGGGGCCATAGTCATGCGGGAGGAGGCTGGCAAATAGGCTTCTCCACAACCCAGGGAAGCAGGGCAATTTGCCATTTAAAGGGCCCGTTACAAATAGCAGTTTGTAACAAGGTGTCAATCCATATCTGCCAAGTGACCCGATGTAGGGGGACCAGTCCCTATTCTGCTCTGTGTCAGTGTGTATCAGGGAACCTTAGGACAGGTGTCAATCCATATCTGCCAAGTGACCCGATGTAGGGGAACAGTCCCTATTCTGCTCTGTGTCAGTGTGTATCAGGGATCCTTAGGACAGGTGTCAATCCATATCTGCCAAGTGACCCTATGTAGGGGGACCAGTCTCTATTCTGCTCTGTGTCCGTGTGCATCAGGGGCTCTGAGGACAGGTGTCAATCCATATGTCAAGGTGTCAATATGTCATATGTCAGGTGTCAATCCATATTGATTGTGATTTAGGAATGTTAGGTGATTTCTGCCCTTTATGGATTAAAACCAGACTCTGTATCAACTGTGTAATTTTCCATGGGAGTTTTGCCATGGATCCCCCTCCGGCATGCCACAGTCCAGGTGTTAGTCCCCTTGAAACAACTTTTCCATCCCTATTGTGGCCAGAAAGAGTCCCTGTGTGTTTTAAAATTCGCCTCCCCATTGAAGTCAATGGCGTTTCGGGCGGTTCGCCGGTTCGCGAACATTTGCGGAAGTTCGCGTTCGCCGTTCGCGAACCGAAAATTTCGGGTTCGCGACATCACTATATATATATATACTTTTTTTACACTTTATAAAATAGGGCGTAATAGTACGCCTTTGGGTCTTAAAGGGTTAAATAACCAATCAGAGTGTTATGAGTCAAATTACACAGCGTGGGAAAATTCCAAATAACTTTCCCACGCTGTGTAAAATGACACAGAGCACTCTGATTGGTGGAATGTCAGTTTCTTCATTTACCTGTCAAAGCACTCTGATTGGATGGCTTAAACCCACCAATCAGAGTGCTCTGAGCCTAATTGCAGGGCGGGGCAAGACTTTATAAGCCTTCCCTGCAGAGCTCAGTCTGCGCGGAGCCCTCGCCGGGTGAAGATGGATTTTATTTTTTTTTTAAGTGCGTCGGTTATTATGGCTTTTTATTTTGCCTTTTTTTGGGCTAAAAGAAAAAGATTTTAGAAGAAAGAAGAGATCAGATGGTAAGTTTTATTTTATTTTTTTCAGGTACTTAGTTAAATGGTCCCCCCTCATTATTTTTAGAGTGAGGGGGGTAGGTAGGGGTTAATTTATTTGGGGAGGGGGGTGACTAGGGGTTTGGGAACCCCTAGTCACCTGGGGGGGGTTAATTTTCTTTTATTTAGGGTCCCCCCCCAATTAGTATTTAGGGCCCCCATCCACCACTCAGGGGTGGGGGCCAGGAGGGAAGACATTAGGTCCCCCCCATTTAATATTTAGGGCCCCCACCCACCGCTCAGGGGTGGGGGCCAGGTTGGAGGACATTAGGTCCCCCCCTAATTAGTATATAGGGCCCCCACCCACCACTCAGGGGTGGGAGGTCATTAGGTCCCCCCCCCAATTAGTATTTTAGGGCCCCCACCCACTGCTCAAGGGTGGGGGCCAGGGGGGAGGACATTAGGTCCCCCCCTAATTAGTATTTTAGGGCCCCCACCCACTGCTCAAGGGTGGGGGCCAGGGAGGAGGACATTAGGTCCTCCCCCCTCATTCAATTTAGGGCCCCCACCCACCGCTCAGGGGTGGTGGCCAGGGGGGAGGACATTAGGTCCCCCCCCAATTAGTATTTTAGGACCCACACCCGCCGTTTAGGAAAGCTTATGGCCTCCCAGAGTAACCTCTACCTCACATACTTGTCTCTTGCTCTCTCCTAAAGCGCTGCTTCACTCCCACCTTATTTTATTGCTATTCCCTGTCCTTATATGTTTTATACCCCACCTCCTGTAGACTGTGAGCTTGTTTGAGCAAGGTCCTCTTCAACCTATAGTTCCAGTAAGTTTTCTTGTAATTGGCCTATTTATAGCTAAATCCCCCCTCTCATAATATTGTAAAGCGCTATGGAATCTGTTGGCGCTATATAAATGGCGATAATAATAATAATATATTATTAGTTGGTACCTTTAGCCACAAGGAGGGCAAATGGGAATGGACTGGGAGACAGGAAATCTACGGTGTAATATTTAAATTAGGGTATATCTCATCCTGTAAAAATAAAGTGCCCCAATCCTGCTCTAATTACAGTCTAAGAGGAACGCCAAGTCCTCAGTGATCAATCAAGGTCCCTAGGATGTAAATATGCCTGAACCCCAAAAGTGGAACCCAAAGGAAATATCCAACTGGTGGTGGTGGGTGATGAATAAAACTCCTTTTATTTAATAATATTAATGAGGTGCAACACTGGGCGGATGGCTTAGTGTGTGCATGATCGACTCTGGGTTACAATCTTGCAGCTAACTTACTCGACCGCTATGAAAACAAGAGGTGGAGAGGAAGAATGACAAACTACAAGCTGAATTTATTTCTTTTATTCTACAAGTCACTCGTCTGCCGTTTCTGCTGCTGTAGTGTTTATGGACAGTCAGGTCACCCCAATTCATGTTACTAATTCCTTGATTTCTTCAGAATGCTGAGCTGGCAGAGAGAGATGGACAGCTGCTCTACAGATTCTATAACCTGATTATACATGGGTTTATTTCATGTACGACTACTGTGATGGCCATGGACCTTGGGTCAAATGAGATTCCTGAAATCCTAACCCAACTTCAGCCACAGAATGACCAAGCTGAGCATGTCATGCAATATGTGGGAAAGCCCAAAAGGTAATATTTTTATGGAGATAATATAGAAGACCACTTTTCTAACCATGAAGAAGTCCATGATGGGGTGGAAGTGTGTGGGCTGGTGGAGAGCAGTTAAATGTTATCTCTGTTTGTATCTAATATCCCATTATGTGCTATCTGTAATCCCACACAGAAAGCAGGGTCTCACAATGGAGTGATGATATTTCTATTTATTGGAATCAGTTACATCAAGTGACAGTAATTAGCAATGAATGGATGGGAAGCCCAAGCGGAGAGATAGTAGGGCGGATCACGAGGCGTGCCATCAGTGTGCTATGTGCTATGCAGCGTCCGTCACTCGTTACCGGATAGAGATTAGTTTTCTGTTGGAAGAAAAGCAAAGTATTGGTTAATTTATTATAAAATCATTTATTAATACGATGATAAAACCAAACGGATCTTCCAAATCACGCAGCCTTCATCATTACAGCTTGTGTTACTGACATTTATAGAACCTCACACCTTCTGCAGTTCTACATTTCATAGTCTTACAACGTGGAGATTTCAGGGATTTTATTATTTATATCCAGCACCTCCGCAGTGTCTGCAGAAACCTAACAGTGAAATTCCCAATAAAACCCCATTTTATTCCAGGTCATAACATTGCACATCACTCTAAGCTTAACTAATGGAAGATTTAGCATTGTGGGAGTCGTCATCCACAGCACAAAGAGGCTCTCGTTTCCTTTTACAGAGCAAGTACTCAGCTGTTTTTAGAAGATAACACCCATCACTCTCAGGCAGTGTAGGAACTCTCTGAATCTCAACGGACGGATATCTGGGCATGGCTCCGTGTGATGGACCACTGACAATGAATGCCTGAACCTCCTTACTGATTACACAGCACCCCAAATCTTCTACTGATGGCAGAGCACCCCAAATCTTCTACTTGTGGCAGGGTACTCCAAATCTTCTACTGATAGACATAGCCCCCCAAATCATGTACTGATAGCAGGGCACTAAAGCTGGTGCTTGGATTGCTGATAGCTAGGTATAGTTGGGGTCAAGCAGTTAGTGGGAGCAATAAAAGTGATGCATAGCATGGAGCGGATCTTGCTGGATTTTCACCGGCATCAGTGGAGTGAAGAGGTCATTTTCGTCTGACTTCTGCAATCATAGCCAGCAATAGACATTTTATTTCTTATAGGTAGGTACTTTGGTGGGCTTGGTGTAGAAAGACAATTGTTTCACCCACTATCACAAATCTGTCTTAGGTTTTTTTTAAGTCATAAATGGTGACACTTAGTGATGTAACTGATTGCCCTGGGGAATCCTGACATGCCCTGACTCAGTGATCCACAGGGGGCAGCATGGAGCCAGACTCACCAATCACTGTCCTTCTGCAATAGTAATCAACGCAGTAGAAGCAACATCTTTCAGTTCCTTGGCATTGGTTGTCCATATGGCAGTTACCGGGGGGAAGGCGGATGCGTGCACATATGGAGGGATCATAGGAAGGACAGGGGTCCAGCTTAGCTGTAGGATGAGAGCAGGTTATTCAGATGACATTAAATACAAACATTCCAAGATAAATTGCATATTCAGTAAATTGAACATTTTATAATTTATTTCTGTTCTCATCTTGTGTTCCAGAATGGACACCTGCAGGATTATTCACTAAACAGCAGATATTAAAGGCAATTCTCATATTTACTAAAACCAACTCCGGCCCGAGCGATCTGCAGCAATCGCCCGGATGCATTCGGTGTCTGGATTATAATCAGTATTTCACATCCAAATCCTGCACTAATTATAGGACCCGGAAGATTCACAATATTACAAAAATTGGGGCCAAATGCATCTAGCAGAATTCACATTGACAAATTATTGTTTATTTTTTTTATTTGCGGTGCGAACAGCCAGATGCCAAATAGTTAAACAACCATCAGCATTGCAAGGGTTAATTATGTGTCAGCCAGCTGGTACATTAAAAAAAGTAAAATAAAAACGCTATAGGAGTCAATAAGAGCCCCCATTATGTCTAAATCCTCCCTATACCCTATACCTCGGATAAAGGCATATCCACTGTGTATAAAACTTGTGACTGGGATAAATAATGAGGGAGGCATAGTTACCTCCGTAACCTACACTTGTATCCATTGTGTGGGGAACTTTAAAATAAACAATGGTGGCCAGCGGACTATTTAATAAAAAATAAATAAAGAGGTAAGGGTTATTATAATTTAACAGGGGGACCAAGTGTCTCTTCCAGCCCCCACCCATTGGTGGAGGGTGGGGGCCCTAATTATAATATTCAGGGGAAGGGTATAGTGTCCCCCCGAAATCCATGCATATGTGGCAGGTGGGGGAATCTAAATAACTATACAATAAGGGTGTGGACATGGCATTGACCACCCCACAATTAGTATATGGCCACCTCCCCAAGTCTTTAGCCACCTTCCATTAAAAAGTATATAAATAGTTCAGATATTTTTAAACCCGGGCCTGGATTTAAAGCATTCGGGTCCAGGTTTTAACCATCTGAACCACATTCAGACCCGTTCAGGCCCTGAATTGCAAAATCCGGATATTATTAAAAAGTGTGAATAATGTCCGAATGGCCCCATACAGCACTGGATGGGTTGACGATTTATCTCATGATAGCCAGACTGGCAAAATGGCGAATTTTTCAATTCCGTTACTTGGACCAAAAAGGTAAAATTCCAGCAATTCCCACTTTTTGACCTTAATAGAACATATTATTGCTATATTTTTAATTAGAGTAACTTTCTAGGTAGAATAATGAATGGAATCAATTCCATTCCGTCATCTTACTTTTCATGCATTCTACCTAGAAAACGCCGGACCCTCCAAACAATTGGACTACTTTATGTTTTTAAGATGATGAGCATTATCTTTGTGCCTGAGGTAGACCCGATATAAAACCTTAGCTATTTCTAATGCAATAAATTAAGAAATGCTTAATATAAACCATCAATTAAACACAACTTCATGATGAATTAATGCAGACGAGACCAAATTGGAGAAAAATTTCATCAGAAAGATGGACTAATAAGGTAATAGACCAATGGTCACCGGCTAAATTAACACAGAACATGTTCGGGTCTATATTGTGCACGAAAACGGTTACACAATAAGCTGAGGACTGGAAAAATTGACAAAGAATTGAAAATTTAAGATGGACAATGTTTTTGCAAATTTCTGTATTTTCCAACCTAAAATTTCTAGAATTCTGGAATTAGTTTCCACTGCAATCTGTTTTAGCTATTTTTCAATAATTTACATTTAATTTAAATAAACAAATCGTAATTTTAATGGTGTTTAGATTGTTTGCAATGTGGAAACGTTAGTAATTTTTTTTAAATAGTAATAAAATCAAATATTTAAAAATTCAGTGAAAGTTTTTAAATAACTGCATCTTGTGAAGACATTGGCTTGGCGTGCACATTACCCTGCACACATGAAAATAAAACACATGGCAGCACTACAAAACTAATAAATATGTGAATGGATTGTCTGTGCTATAGTAACATAGATAGCAGATGAGATTGAATGTAGATAAATGCAGTCATGCATTACCGATGTGGAATGCACAATGAACTTATACCCTAAATGGAACTAGGGTTAGGGAGTTAGGGAAAAGAATAAACAAAAAGGACTTAAAGGACCACTCTAGGCACCCAGACCACTTCAGCTTAATGAAGTGGTCTGGGTGCCAGGTCCCTCTAGGGTTAACCCATTTTTATTTATAAACATAGCAGTTTCAGAGAAACCCTATAGGAGTCAAAAGGAGCCCCCATAGAGTCCATAGGAAAGCATTGTAAATGCTTTCCTATGAGACCGTCTGAATGCGCGCTCATTCAGCCGAATGGGAGGAGAGGAGGCGGAGAGGAGGAGGAGAGCTCCCAGCCTGGCGCTGGAAAAAAGGTAAGTTTTACCCATTTCCTCTCCCCAGAGCCGGGCGGGAGGGGGACCCTGAGGGTGGGGGCACCCTCAGGGCACTATAGTGCCAGGAAAACGAGTATGTTTTCCTGGCACTATAGTGGTCCTTTAAGAGCAACAATGTCAGGTAGCAGTTGTTAAAACCAGTAAGTAGAGTTGAGCGGACACCTGGATGTTTGAGTTCGGCCGAACTTCGTCAAAAAGTTCGAGTTTGGGCTCGAACTTGACCTAAACTTGACCCCGAACCCGAACCCCATTGAAGTCAATGGGGACCTGAACTTTTGGGCACTAAAATGCCTCTAAAAAAGTAATGGAAAGGGCTAGAGGGCTGCAAAAGGAAGTAAAATGGGGGTAAGAATAGGACAAGTGCCCTGCAAACACACTTAGATAGGGAAATCACTTAAAATAACATCAAATACATACAAATTAAAAATACAGCTGAGCCATAAAATAGCACTAGATGGAATCTTTGATTTTAGCTTTGGAAGAACATAAATCAAAATCTAAAGCATGGCTGTCAGGAGGATCACCAGAATTATCCATTTGAGAGAGGGTTGGAGTGCAGAGTATTCTCTTTCATTGTTCAAACTGAGCTCAACTCCTGATGCATGGAGAAAAGGCCTTCACAAGCCTCTGCTATTGTGTACATAGTTTATACTAAGTGACCCATAGGTTGAGGAGGCGGTGACTGTGGCGGTGTAGGTGGAAGCGGCGATGGAGGAGGAGGAGGTAGCCAACACTTTATTTTATTTGTTTGTTTTTTAATTGGGGTAGCCCCCAAAATATTGGGACTTATAAAAAAAGAAACATTTGCGGCCTTCGGTGCATTTCTAGCAGTCCAATAACACCATCAAGGTTTTTAAAACTGTCCGTCTCCACCAGACATAATGACAGCATTTCAAAGGCCACAAATTTTGAAATGCTGGCATTCAGGGCCAGGGATCGCGGGTGGCTAGGGGGGTACTTCGTCTTTCTCTCCAGTGTTTGGGAGATGGACAGCTGAACGCTTCCATGGGACAGTGTGGAGATGCTTGGGGATGGTGGCGGACGTGGTAGCGTTGCTGCCACATCCTCTGTTTGCGGGGTGTCAGGTGCCACTGTCACTCCAGAGGTGGAGGAAGAGGCCGAGACAGCAGCAGAAGAGGAAGCAGGAGGAGCCTGAGACCTTCCTTGGTTTTTGAGGTGCTTACTCCACTGCAGCTCGTGCTTTGCATGTAGATGCCTGGTCATGCAGGTTTTGCTCAGGTTTAGAACATTTATGCCTCGCTTCAGGCTCTGATTGCACAGTGTGCAAACCACTCGTGTCTTGTCGTCAGCACATCGTCTGAAGAACTGCCATGCCAGGGAACTCCTTGGAGCTGACTTTGGTGTGCTCGGTCCCTGGGTGCGGTGTGCAGTAGCAGGCGTACTGTCTAGAGGATGGCTGCTCCGCTTTTGCACCCTGCTCTAGGAGGAGGAGGTGGATGTGGAGTAGGAGTTTGAGGAGGCGGTGGCCGTGGCGGCGACTACGCATTCGAATGTCTGCCCTATCAACTTTCGATGTTACTTTCTGCGCCTACCATGGTGACCACGGGTAACAGGGATTCAGGGTTCGATTCCAGAGAGGGAGGCTGAGAAAAGGCTACCACATGCAAGGAAGGCAGCAGGCGCGCAAATTACCCACTCCCGACGCGGGTAGGTAGTGATGATAAATAACAATACAGGACTCTTTCCAGGCCCTGTAATTGGAATGAGTACACATATGAGGCGGTGAGCGGGAAGGCCGAAGTTACGCTGCAGCGCAGACAGGTGAGCAGCAGCAGGGTGAGAACGCCGAAAGCACACCCAGCCATTACACAGAAATGGCTCATTAGGAGTCATTAAATCAGTTATGATTCCTTTGATCACTCCGTCTGTTACTTGGATAACTGTGGGATTTCTAGAGCCAGTACATACCGAAGAGCGCTAGGGGACGGCCACTCCGCTTTTGCATCCTGCTCCCTCTTATGCTGATGTAGTAAATTCGAATCAAAGTTCCATTTACCCAAAAAAATTCTCGCCCATCTTCTGTGAGTTATTGCATTTTTAAGATGTAGACTTATTGTATCACACAAGCCATGCACAGGTAAATTGTCTGGCACAATATGAAGTTCACACCTCAAATGTACTATTTATCACCAAAAGAATTAGAATTTTTAAAACTGTGCTGTAACCACAGTATTTGACGGTTCTATTTGACTCTCAGGTATGAAGTGCACTCCCCAAATTTTCTTTTCAGCACCTCAAAAATTTCAATTGGGCAAACTGCACTGTAACCACAGTATTTGACGGTTCTATTTGGCTGTCAGATATGAAGTGCACACCCCAAATTTACTTTTTAGCACCAAAACAATTAGAATTTTTAAAACTGCTATGTCACAGCAGTATTTGACAGTTCTATTTGACTCTCAGATATGAAAGGCAGGACCCAAATTAACTTTTTAGTAGCTAAAGAATTTGAATTAGGCAAACTGCAATGTCACAGCAGTATTTGACGGTTCTATTTGACTCTCAGATATGAAGTGCACACCCCAAATTTACTTTTTACTTTTTAGCACTGAAATGTCCGTGTTCGGGTCCGTGGGTCCAAGAACCGTAATGTTCGGTATGAACCCAAGCTTTTCAGTTCGGGTTCGCTCAACTCTACCAGTAAGGTATTGTTAAGTATAAAAACATGTATTGATTAATTCTATGTCTAGGTAAATTCATGATAAAAACCCACCTTGACTATACGGTACAAATTTGGGCACCTGATTTAAAGAAGAATGTTAAGATGGACTACACAATTTATTATGGAAATGAAACTTAAACGTGTGTCAGGTTCTTATACCGACAAGCAAGACTTTTTAATTTCTTACCGTCCCTTTAAATGCGATTCCTGGTTTTCACCTCTAGTGGCCTCCCTAGCCACTAGTCTCATACTCACCTGTATCTTATGAAACAAGTTCTGCTATAAATGGCCACACCCAACTAAGTAAGGGGCCTTTACATTGAAGTTAAAGGAACACTATAGTCACCTAAATTACTTTAGCTAAATAAAGCAGTTTTAGTGTATAGATCATTCCCCGGCAGTCTCACTGCACAATTCACTGTCATTTAGGAGTTAAATCACTTTGTTTATGAACCTGCATTGCATCCTACTTGGATTATTACCGGCTCTCCTGTACTTACCTGCATCGCATCCTACTTGGATTATTACCGGCTCTCCTGTACTTACCCGCATTTAACTCTGTACCCTCCCTACTTGGATTGCTATAGAATTATCCGGACTACCTTTATTAATACAATCCTGCAAAACCCACCTTCTGGACATTGATGCAATTTGATATCTCCTATAATCGTCTCCTAACTGACCTGATCGAGAGCATGACAACGTGTTTACTTAAATAAGTCAACTCAGAGGGGATATGATAATGTTATATAAATATAAACAAAGCCATTACAAACATCTCTTATAACCTGTACATTAGTAGGGCTATACACAGGGTAAGATGTCACCCATGTAAACTTCAATAAAAGAGATTTCACCTATGACAAAGAAAATAATTATATGCATTAAGAACACTAAATATATTGGATTCTCAGTTCTTAATTGACTTATCAGATTCTTTACAGATTTTCAAACAATATTCAAGGATACAATACTTAATATGTAGGGTAAAAGCTTAGTGATCGAAGAAGAAATCTGTCATTTTACAGTCAAGGATTTTTTCCCCTCAATTTGGGACAAAATTGAAAATCACTTCAAAATGGGTTTTTCACTTTCTTTTGGGACAACAGCAAGAATAGTAACAGGTATGTGAAAGGCTGAAACTGGTAGAGTTTAGACTCTTTTCACCCTGTATTAGTTATAGACAGCATTAATGCTAGATAGGCTTTCTCAGCTTGTCACATTTTAGTGCTTTGTTACATTATGTACACTATAGACTATTGTGTCAATAAGTGACATTCAGAACATTCCAAACATGGCAGTAGTATGTTTTATGTGTCAGGTTCCACACCTTTCAGAGGCAGGAGGCACTGTTTCTGACAGCCAGAAAAGCAGCACTTTTTTTCCCCCTCGCAGTCGCTGTCTTTCTGACATCCGTTGTCCTGATTGTTTGCATTCACCGAGTCACATCGTGGGTAATCAACGTCCAAAGGACAAATGCCCGGCTTCTCTACATCAGGAAAAGGAACCAAAAAATATCATTATTCAGACATAATGGGTAATAATTGATTAAAGCATTTTACAGGAATGTCTGTGTGAAACATTGAAAAATACATATGTGTTTGTTTGTATCTGTATCTCTCTAGCTTGTTGGCTGAGGGGTTTCTCTGACTTATTTACAAAAACAGCTTGGTTAGGGATTATTGCAGCAGGTGTGGGGTTAATGCAGCAGGCGTGGGGTTAATAAAGCATATTTAGGAGATACTGCAGTATGGTGTGAGGTCAAGAAATGTAGAAAAATGTATCAAAGTATTGATCCGTTTCCATGGGACTCCCTGTGCGTGTTCCCTTATTTGTACTTTGTTTCATCTGATATCCCCTTGCATTCGAATGGAATCACTACCTGATAATTGTTCCCTTGTGTTCGGCTATCCGTTACCTTCTGTTCAGTTACCGACAGAAGTGGTTGTCCCCCTTGTTAACACCTTGTAATCACCGACAACCCCTGGATGTTAACCACAAACCATCACCTCAAGTGCTTCACTGGGTGGCCTTCATTTGCATATATGAACACACGTGTTATCAGGACTGGCGGCTGTGACGAGACCAATCTCGCCACATTGCATTGGAGAAGCCTGGTTACTCGCCTGCTGCCTTTGGACTATGGCCCCCTGTTAAAAGACATCTTTTTTACCTGCAGAAAAGTTTAATTCGTGCTTTTCTGCCTGGGGTTCGGTAGATTTGTTTGCATGTGTTATACCCCAGATAGGAATCCCATGGAGCCCATTTGTATGAAACTGATTGTAAAGACTTTGGCTCCATGGCGATTAAACTGTATTCTGTATGTATAAAAGGTGACTTTATGTATTTTAAAGTGTTTTGTGTCTTTTTGCAACCATGTGCTTAATGGAGTCTTGTGTCTGTCCTGGGAGATAATTGAATTACTTATCTCCAGGATAGAAGACTCTGAAACTGGTTTGGGCCAGAAAGCCATGCTTCATTTAGTCACAAAGGACTTTTTACTAACTTTTGAACCCTTTGTCTGATTTGTGCCATTTTTGAATATGTTGTTCCCCTGAATGGATTGATTGAGAATATGTAATTTTATGTGAATGTGATGTATGGTTTTGGAGTTATGAGAGTTGGGTAGAAAGTATGTTTTAACTGTTTGTATAATTGAGTTTCCTCTCAGGATAAGGGGAGGGAATATGTGGGATGTAACTGTGATATGATTGGTTGTTTTATCCCTCCCTGTGGGTGGTCCTGTATTTGAAACACTGTAATAAAACCAGGCTGGGTGTGCCAGCACCTCAGACCACTGCTTGACCCTCAACACGGAGCCTTGTCTCGTTCTTGGGGGATTCACTGTATGCTGTTAGAGACTGATTGCCAGGAGTGTAAGCTGATTGTCTGCTTTTCCTGTTCGTCTGCTAGCAGCTATTTGGGAGGTTCCAGTTCGGGAGTTGGAGTGCTATTTTGTATCCAGTATGGGAGTTTGATGTTCTGCAGTAGCTGTGCCTGTATCTCTGGAAAGGGGGCCGATCGCCTAAACGGTTTTTACCCCTTGTGTGCAAAACGGTCCGTTACAGCGGCCATCTTGTCTACCGAACGCAGGAACCATTATATGGTCATTAATGGCATGGATCTTTGAGTTGACTACACAAGCTCGTGAACCCCGCTGAAACTCGTACCCTTGCCCATTCATACTCCCGACCAGCTGGAGTAAGAAAGTACCGAACAAGGCAAGCATTCATGTCGTAAAAATCCAGGGTATGCGTTCGTCGGTGCTCAGTCATCTCAAACACAATGGCTTGTGGGAAGGAAACCCTGTGATTTTGTCTTAGAAACTCCATGCTAGGGACACTGTATAAAAAGCCGAGTGTGGCCTAATAAAGCTCAGATTGCTTTCCAAAACGACTGGTTGCATCCATTATATTGGCGAAATTCTACACAACGATACCACACAACACGCTATTCTCTGTTACTATACAGGACACGACACACTATTATCTGTTACTATACAGGACACGACACGCTGTTCCCTGTTACTATACAGGACACACTATTCTCTGTTACTATACAGAACACACTATTCTCTGTTACTATACAGGACACACTATTCTCTGTTACTATACAGGACACACTATTCTCTGTTACTATACAGGATACGACACGCTATTCTCTGTTACTATACAGGGCACGCTACTCTCTGTTACTATACAGGACACGACATGCTATTCTCTGTTACTATACAGGACACACTATTCTCTGTTACTATACAGGATACGACACGCTACTCTCTGTTACTATACAGAACACGACATGCTATTCTCTGTTACTATACAGGACAGGACATGCTATTCTCTGTTACTATACAGGACACACTATTCTCTGTTACTATATAGGATATGACACGCTACTCTCTGTTAATATACAGGTCACGACACGCTATTCTCTGTTACTATACAGGACACGCTACTCTCTGTTACTATACAGGATACGACACGCTATTCTCTGTTACTATACAGGACACACTATTCTCTGTTACTATACAGGATACGACACGCTACTCTCTGTTACTATACAGGACACACTATTCTCTGTTACTATACAGGACACGACACGCTATTCCCTGTTACTATACAGGACACACTATTGTCTTTTACTATACAGGACACAACATGCTATTCTCTGTTACTATACAGAACACGACACGCTATTCTCTGTTACTATACAGGACACGACACGCTATTCTCTGTTACTATACAGGACAGGACACGCTATTCTCTGTTACTATACAGGACACACTATTCTCTGTTACTATACAGGACACGACACGCTATTCTCTGTTAATATACAGGTCACGACATGCTATTCTCTGTTACTGTACAGGACACGCTACTCTCTGTTACTATACAGGATACGACACGCTATTCTCTGTTACTATACAGGACACGCTATTCTCTGTTACTATACAGGACACGACATGCTATTCTCTGTTACTATACAGGATACGCTACTCTCTGTTACTATACAGGATACGACACGCTATTCTCTGTTACTATATAGGGCACGCTACTCTCTGTTACTATACAGGACACGACATGCTATTCTCTGTTACTATACAGGACACACTATTCTCTGTTACTATACAGGATACGACACGCTACTCTCTGTTACTATACAGAACACGACACGCTACTCTCTGTTACTATACAGGACACGACACGCTATTCTCTTTTACTATACAGGACACGACACGCTATTCTCTGTTACTATACAGAACACGACACGCTATTCTCTGTTACTATACAGGACACACTATTCTCTTTTACTATACAGGACACGACATGCTATTCTCTGTTATTATACAGGACACACTATTCTCTTTTACTATACAGGACACGACATGCTATTCTCTGTTACTATACAGGACATGACTCGCTATTCCCTGTTACTATACAGGACACGCTATTCTCTGTTACTTTACAGGACACACTATTCTCTTTTACTATACAGGACACGACATGCTATTCTCTGTTACTATACAGGACATGCTATTTGTTAAGACACGAACCGCCAGGTAGATGAAGCCGCCGTTTAGTAAATAATCCCCTTCTCCAGAAATGCAGTTTAAATCCAGCCGACCGCCAAACTCCCGAACGAAGTCCACGAATACGGCAACTCCCGATCAGCAAAACAGTCGAACGCCTTCCACAGCTAAAAATAATGAAAGCGCTGTCCCAGTAATAATTCCCCCCACAAACGAGACCAAGCTCCGTCTTGAGGGTCAAATGAAGATCTGTTTAATGGGGGCTACCTGCCCGGTATTTATGCAGGTCTCCACAAGGTGGACCTTGTGGAAGACTGTACAATATATTAGACAGTAGCCAATCGCAGTGGCTTCAATATAAGCCCTTCCCATTTTACCCATAAATCCATCTTCTCTACCCCGGAAATAATTAGGAAGAAACCTAATTATCTCCCAGGGTAGAGACAATCGCCATTTTACATTACAGTAGAAAAAATACATTAAAATACATAACTGAAGGAATACCGAATGAATATAGTTTGTGTAACGTATCCCCAGACAGCCTGGATCTGAGTGCATGTTTTCACCGAATAGCGCTCAGATCCGATGTATCTAGTCGAATCGCCATGGAGTCAAAGTCTTTCACCAGTCCTTCGGTATACGAATGACTCCATGGGATGGCTGTCTGGGTGAAAGTCCATACGAATGAATAAAAACTCCCAAACGACCGATGTTCGCATGCCTTGTCGAAATGGAAGGTAGGCAGCAGCTTCCAGCGGTGTTCGGTAGTTTAAGTGTCCGTTTTAGTTCCATATAATTTGTACCGAACACCGCTATGCGTTCGTATGTCCCAAAATGGCCGCTGCCTCGTGGTCGACATGCGAACGACGACCACCCGTACGAATGGAATGGAGAGGTGTCTGCGGTTAACCACAACGTTCTAATTGGGTCCAAGAGGTTAACCAGCAGCACACTCCTCTCCTGGGTGGTCGTTTGTTCGGTAGTTTCAATCGGTAGTTTGCAAATTACACGAACGGGGGTATACGAACAGGAAATCCAGCGAACAAAGGGAAACAGACGAACCAGCAATACAGATGAATCTGTCACGCTATTCTCTGTTACTATACAGGACACGACATGCTATTCTCTGTTACTATACAGGACACGACACGCTATTCTCTGTTACTATACAGGACACGACATGCTATTCTCTGTTACTTTACAGGACACGACATGCTATTCTCTGTTACTATACAGGACACGACATGCTATTCTCTGTTACTATACAGGACACGACATGCTATTCTCTGTTACTATACAGGACACGACATGCTATTCTCTGTTACTATACAGGACACGACACGCTATTCTCTGTTACTATACAGGACACGACATGCTATTCCCTGTTACTATACAGGACACGCTATTCTCTGTTACTATACAGGACACGCTACTCTCTGTTACTATACAGGACACGACACGCTATACTCTTTAACTATACAGGACACGACACGCTATTCTCTGTTACTATACAGGACACGCTATTCCCTGTTACTATACAGAACACGACACGCTATTCTCTTTACTATACAGGACACGACACGCTATTCTCTGTTACTATACAGGACACACTATTCTATGTTACTATACACAACACGACACGCTATTCCCTGTTACTATACAGGACACGCTATTCTCTGTTACTATACAGGACACGACACGCTATACTCTTTAACTATACAGGACACGACACGCTATTCTCTGTTACTATACAGGACACGCTATTCCCTGTTACTATACAGAACACGACACGCTATTCTCTGTTACTATACAGGACACACTATTCTCTTTTACTATACAGGACACGACACGCTATTCTCTGTTACTATACAGGACACGCTATTCTTTGTTACTATACAGGACACGCTATTCTCTATACAGAACACGACACGCTATTCTCTGTTACTATACAGAACACGACACGCTATTCTCTGTTACTATACAGGACACACTATTCTCTGTTACTATACAGAACACGACACGCTACTCTCTGTTACTATACAGGACACGACATGCTATTCTCTGTTACTATACACGACACACTATTCTCTGTTACGATACAGAACACACACGCTATTCTCTGTTACTATACAGGACACACTATTCTCTGTTACACACTATTCTCTTTTACTATACAGAACACAACACGCTATTCCTGTTACTATACAGGACACACTATTCTCTTTTACTATACAGGAACACATGCTATTCTCTGTTACTATACAGGACATGACAGGCTATTCTCTGTTACTATACAGGACACGACTCACTATTCTCTGTTACTATACAGGACACGCTATTCTCTGTTACTATACAGGACATGACACGCTATTCTCTGTTACTATACAGGACACGACATGCTATTCTCTGTTACTATACAGGACACGCTATTCCCTGTTACTATACAGGACACGCTATTCTCTGTTACTATACAGGACACGACATGCTATTCTCTGTTACTATACAGGACACGCTACTCTCTGTTACTATACAGGACACGACACGCTATACTCTTTAACTATACAGGACACGCTATTCCCTGTTACTATACAGGACACGCTATTCTCTGTTACTATACAGGACACGACATGCTATTCTCTGTTACTATACAGGACACGCTATTCTCTGTTACTATACAGGACACGCTATTCCCTGTTACTATACAGGACACACCATTCTCTTTTACTATACAGGACACAACACACTATTCTCTGTTACTATACAGGACATACTATTCTGTTTTACTATACAGGACACGCTATTCCCTGTTACTATACAGGACACACTATTCTCTGTTACTATACAGGACACGACACGCTATTCTCTGTTACTATACAGGACACGACTTGATATTCTCTGTTACTATACAGGACACGTTATTCTCTGTTACTATACAGGACACACTATTCTCTGTTACTATACAGGACATGACACGCCATTCTCTGTTACTATACAGGACATAATACGCTATTCTCTGTTACTATATAGGACACAACATGCTATTCTCTGTTACTATACAGAACACAATACGCTATTCTCTGTTACTATACAGGACACGACATGCTATTCTCTGTTACTATATAGGACACAACATGCTATTCTCTGTTACTATACAGGACACGACACGCTATTCTCTGTTACTATACAGGACACGACACACTATTCTCTGTTACTATACAGGACACGCTATTCTCTGTTACTATACAGGACACGTTATTCTCTGTTACTATACAGGACACGACACGCTACTCTCTGTTACTATACAGGACAGGACATGCTATTCTCTGTTACTATACAGGACACGACACGCTATTCTCTGTTACTATACAGGACAGGACATGCTATTCTGTTACTATACAGGACAGAGGCAAAAGTACGCATGCTTGGGGGACCATCGGTTCACCCTAAGGTCAGGTGCCGCGGCCCTTTAACAGCATGACCGGGACCCTGTACTACCGGCAGCCAGAGCTGGAGAAAGTGAGAGCCCAGCTACAGAGAGAGCACCACGTGGAAGAGAGGATGAGGAATTACAGGATTGGAGGGCAAGTGGAGACCCGGCTCCTGTCACCCCCACACTCCTATCAGCCTCAGCCAGCAGGACACAAGGAAGGAAGCCACCCTCCTGCACATAAAATGTTTGTTAACAAAAAGGTGGCTGAAAATATAACAATTACGACGTGTGTGTATCTGTGTATGAATATGTTAGTGTTTGTGTATGTCAGTGTGTGTATCTCTGTATGTATCACTCTGTTTATATGTGTGTCAGTGTTTTTGTATGTCAGTGTTCAATGCAAGCATTGCCTAGAAGTACTCCACTGCATTCCAGTGACACCGGTTCATACAAATACAGCTCTACACGCGTGCACACATACTTCATGCAAAAACATGACTACATTCAATCACAAACACAACCCTGCAAACATGGGCAAATGATAGACTCCAGCTGGCATAGCATTGTGGAAGTTGTACAACAGAGGACGATCTACCTTTTGGCCACCATTGTGTTAGAGAGTGCCCAAACATGCCCGAGGCATGTTATAGGTTTGAGACCCCCTTCATTCTTCACATGGGGTTGGTGAATGGGTGAATTCACGGTTCCAGGTTCCCTGTATAAGCCCTGGACCTTAGGTTCATCAAGCCTCACAGATTGAATAAGGATTGGATAGTTCTGGGTTAACTCACCTGCCGGATCCGTAGCCCTGGCTCCCAGGAAGCACAGACTGAGACCCAGAACGATCAGGCTGGCAGAAATCATGTTGTCCTCACGCTGTGTGTGAGCCCAGTCTGTCACTACCCGGCCTTTATAGCAGCGTTACAGGGAGGGACGGAGATCACACACTCACTGTATCTGTTCCAAAAATAAAAGTATTTCCCAACAATCCCAGGATTTCCACATCTCCTCGGGGAGCAAACATATCCAGCCACACCTAGGACACTCGGTCAGGGAAGTAACATTCATTATGTAAATAGCTGTTTACCTGCTAATCACCAAAATGTCATCATCTCCCATGCTGGCATTTTGCATCTGGACTGCCCGTATGGGTGGGACCAGTCTGATATGCTTCAGTTCTCTCTGTAATGGCACGAGATGAGCTAAAACCAGCTTGAGTTCTGAGCGGGGATCCACCGAAGGGCAGGTTATTTCCGTGGCTGTTCGTTCTCAGAATACTCTTGCGACCTATTTTTTTGCTCAGTTTACGATTACTTTTTATTTGACTTTTTTGGTGCAGAAGAAAGAAGAATTTAAAAGGTAAGTATAGGAATTAGATTTTTAGAAATCCTTACCATTACTAGGGTGAGAGGGTGCGTTGGGTGTATTTAGTGGGACTAGTGGCACTGATGGAACTACTGCCGGTGCAGTGGGTGTGGCTGCACAGTGGCCGGCACACTGAGAGGGCCCATATAGTGCCCCGAGCACTTGGGGCGGTGGGACTGTGTCCTCATGGGCCTAGTTGTGCACAGTCTTTTAACACCACAAGATGGACCTTTACTTATCTGCAGCTGGGAGGAAGTGGGAGCCGGTTACTTCCTCCCAACCGACAAATACACTGAGCCCAATGGGAGGGAAAGGAGTAGGGGAGAGAACTGAAAAAGCCTGGTTTTTGACTCCCAACAGCTCCAGCCAGCTGAAGCTACCTTCCTGCACGCAAAAAAGTGGCCAGCATGTGTGTCATTGTGTGTTTTTGTGTATCTGCATGTATGTCAGTGTTTGTATCTGTGTGTCTGTTTATCTGTATGTGTCTCAGTGTTTGTATATGTGTATGTGCATGTGTGTCAGTGTATATCTGTGTGTCTGTGTGTCAGTGCATGTATATGTAAGTCTATGTATCTGCATGAATTTCAGTGTTTGTATCTTTATGTGTGCCAGTATTTGTATATTTGTGTGTATGTGTATCAGTGTATGTGTATGTAACTGACCGTTTTGCACAAAAGGGGAAAAAACCGTTTAGGCGATCGGCCCCCTTTCCAGAGATGCAGGCACAGCTACTGCAGAACACCAAACACACGAACCGCCAATAAGTGAATACTCCAAACTCCCGAACGGCATCCAATATAGCACTCCAAATACACGAACAGGAACCATACGAATTGCTGCTATCAGACGAATAGGAAAAGCATCCAAGCGGCTTACACTCCTAGCAATCAGTCTCTATCAGCATTCAGTAAATCCCCCCAAGAACGAGACAAGGCTCCGTGTTGAGGGTCAAGCAGTGGTCTGTTTAATGAGGGCTACCTGCCCGGATTTTATGCAGGTCTCCCACCTGGTGGACACTCCCCTAGGGGACCAAATGGGAGACTGTGACAAGGGACAGACAAGTAGACAAATAGGACACACAGTCACAGTATATTCCCACAATGCATCCTGGCTTCCTCCCCTCTGCCCTGGGAGATAATTGAGAAGTAACTCAATTATCTCCCAAGACAAAGGCAAAACTCCATTACACATGTGGGGACACAAAACCAGTATTATACTTTAAAATACATAAAGTAACATTTATTACATAAAACACAGACATGTAACATATCCCCAGATAGCTCAGGTCTGAGTGCACATTATTAAGTGAATGGCGCTCAGACCACACGAATACAGTTTAATCGCCATGGAGCCAAAGTCTTTACAGTCAGTTTCATACGAATGGGCTCCATGGGATTCCTATCTGGGGTATAACACATTCAAACAAATCTACCGAACCCCAGACAGAAAAGCACGAATGAAGCTTTTCTGCAGGTAAAAAATATGTCTTTTAACAGGGGGCCATAGTCCAAAGGCAGCAGGCGAGCAACCAGGCTTCTCCAATGCAATGTGGCGAGATTGGTCTCGTCACAGTGTATATGTGCATAAATATCAGCATTCAATGTAAAAAAAAATATATATATATATATATATATATTGCGCCAGGGCCTGATCTGCATTAGTTCCACCGCTGAATAGTGGCTTGGGGACCTTTAGCCCTCAGTGTGGGATGCTGGATTTGACTTGGGGGAGTAGGCTACTAGCATGCCAAACCACTATTAGATTAAATGAATACTGTAAACACCATAAGCACTGCATAATGCAGAAGTAGTTATGGTGCCAGTAGTCACTCAGTGTGTTTTGACTTCTTTCTTGGGGTCTCCAGGCACATCTCCCTGCCTGTTCTGCAGCCAGTAGCTTTCATTGATTATCAATCGATAAATGACAGAAGACACTGGGATTTGTTTATAGCTGTGAAGATTCTTTCTTCATACATCTACAGTCTCTGCTGTTCTATTTCATGTGAGTTTGAATTTATTTATTTATACCACGGCTGAGCTATCTTTATTCTATACTGACTGTCACTTGACTTTCATTTTCTCTGTTGGGTGTCACTGGGATATTTGTAATATGTTATATTTTGATTTCAGGGCTGGATATACCCTCCATGATGTTGGTTTCCTAAATATATATTCAAATTCTGGTCAGGCCTCCCTACCCTGTAGGTGTCCTGGGCAAGACACCTGATGAATTATATCTGAATTCCTCAATCAAGGTCCATGTCTGGTGGTAGATAAGTGGGCTAATGGAATAAATCATCCATGGATACAAAGTGAGAACTTAGACCTCCCTGACTGCTGCTACAACAGCTGACACAAAACAGACTACCTGAAACGTTTGTGGGAACTATGGATAGAAAAAAGTTTGTTATCAAAGACTGGAAGCCGACATAACATCAACATGCACCATGGAGAGTAAGACTGGAAGCCGAGATAACATCAACATGCACCATGGAGAGTAAGACTGGAAGCCGAGATAACATCAACATGCACCATGGAGAGTAAGACTGAAAGCCGAGATAACATCAACATGCACCATGGAGAGTAAGACTGAAAGCCGAGATAACATCAACATGCACCATGGAGAGTAAGACGGGAAGCCGAGATAACATCAACATGTACCATGGATAGTAAGACTGGAAGCCGAGATAACATCAACAGGCAGCATGGAGAGTAAGACTGGAAGCCGAGATAACATCAACATGTATCATGGAGAGTAAGACTGGAAGCCGAGATAACATCAACATGCATCATGGAGAGTAAGACTAGAAGCCGAAATAACATCAACATGCTTCCGGTCTTACTCTCCATGGTGCATAACATCAACATGCACCATGGAGAGTAAGACGGGAAGCCGAGATAACATCAACATGTATCATGGAGAGTAAGACTGGAAGCCGAGATAACATCAACATGTACCATGGATAGTAAGACTGGAAGCCGAGATAACATCAACATGCAGCATGGAGAGTAAGACTGGAAGCCGAGATAACATCAACATGTATCATGGAGAGTAAGACTGGAAGCCGAGATAACATCAACATGCGTCTTGGAGAGTAAGACTGGAAGCCGAGATAACATCAACATGTATCATGGAGAGTAAGACTGGAAGCCGAGATAACATCAACATGCACCATGGAGAGTAAAAAGTGAAAAGTATACAGAAGGATCAGCGCTTAAAAACTTTAAAAAAAGGTAGCACACCTAAAGGATAGGGCGCACTCACAGGCCCTATAGGTATATAGGTGTAAGGAAGGAGAAAAAGGTGGCGCCACAGAGATAATATGTACAATTAACTATCAGCAAGTAGTAATATAGAAATAAACAATGATATATAATAATTATATATATATATATATATGTAAATATATATAGAGCAGTCCAAAAGGAGTCCAATTAAACCTTGGGATGATAGAACAATCACAGTTCTATCTGAGGTAGAGACATCTATGGAGCAGTGGGATCAAGGGTGTAACGGAACCGCTGGCACCCCGACCGGGTACCTTCCGCCGACGGATGCTCCTAGTGCTTTCCGAGGACTCCAAGCACTCTGCCTGACACCATAACCACTGCAGACCCCACGAACCGCCGCAGCTTGGTTGGGGTCTCGCCGTCTCCACCCACTCTGGACCCAGGACCAGGGTCCAGCTTCCAACAGGTCGACCTCTCTCTGAATTCAAGAGAGCAGGAACAGGAACAAGCTCTTAGCAGAGCTTAGTGATTATACCCTGGGGAGTATAGTGATTATACCCTGGGGAGTATAGTGATTATAGCAATCCCCAGAGTGTAGTTTCTCCAATCCCCCAAACATGAGCCGAAACATCATGAAGGTACAAGATGATCTGTTTATTGGCACACCAAGAACCTTCTTTTATGCAGGTTTCCCTGATATAGGGCCACCCACAGGGTTTTACACAACAACCAATCATAAACGTACATTACATAAACACTCCCAGCAATTACACACAAAGATCCTCCCCTCTGCCTGTGATATAATTATGTTGCACAATGGATCAACATAACTAGCACAGGCAGTAAAAATACAGTTTTTATACATACACTGTAACTTTAAAACTACACATCCAATCATCATAACAATTACATATTTTCATGCCCAAAACAGTTCCATAGATTTGGGCTGTGCGGTCGGTCTATTTCAGGCTGAAAAAACGACTAAGTCCCATCGCCGAATGGGAGTCTCTGCGGCTGTAAAATCAGTATGGGAGAAGGTACAGCTCAGCGGTGTTCGAGGAAATGTGTAGCCGATTTTAGTTCCATGAATTTGGCTACACATACCGCTGACCTCGTTCGCATTAACAAAGATGGCCGTCGCCACGTGTTCGGCAAACGAACAAAGGCCACCCAGCGTTCGGCAATTAAGCTGCGGTTAACTGCAGCTTCTGGGAGGTAAATAGCCTGCACACTTCCACTTCTGGGTGGTCTGCCTGTGTGGTACCTGGTTCAGTAAGCCCCATTTACCGAACCAAGTGGGAAATAGCCAGGCACAAGGGGTTTTAACCAGGTCTGGGGACACAGGGGACACCGTCTTAAAGGTGGCAGTGTCCCAAACAAGTCTGGGGACACCGTCTTAAAGGGGCAGTGTCCCAATTTTCCCTATGCCCCAAAAAGGTG